CTTGTTGAATCCATCAATTATCAGCAGACATCTATCAACCAGATTTTGAATTCCAATGTTTGTGGCAAACTCACATTCATCAAGGACTGTAGTTGAAAAATCCTTGTGTTTTCCTATGAAGAAACAGGCTATATGGAGGAACAGACGTTTGACATGATCTTGCAAAGAATCAAAGCTTATTCTGAGAATCTTTTGAATTTTTCCTTCAGTAATCACATCCAAGTTCTGTAATGCATTTTTCCATACATCTGCAGCTTTTCCAAAGAGAGAAGATCCTAGAACTTTAAGAGCTAATGGAACCCCTCCACAATGTTGCACTACAGGTCTTGACAGATCCATGTAACCTTCGCTAGGATGGGGTTGTCTAAAGGCATGCCAACTGAAAAGCTCAAGTGATTCATGCTCATGCAGCCCTTCCACCTTAAACATTGCACAATTCTCATGAGCCTTTAACAAATGTTCATGTCTAGTTGTTATGATTATTTTACTTCCTGGATGAAGCCATTCTCGCATCCCAAGAATTGCATTGAATTGTTCCAAGTTGTCAATATCATCAAGAGCAACAAGAACTCTTTTGCAACGTATCGCCCGTTTGATCTTTGTTATTCCTTCATCCAAGCTGTATATTTTCTTTGCTTTCCCCTTTTGGAGATCTGAAAGAAGCTTCCTTTGCAAGTGAACCTCACCATTGGGAAGTTCTGAAGTTGCTCTAATATCTGCAAGAAAGCTGCCACCTTGAAATTTATAGAAATTCCTGTTATAAGCAATCTTGGCAATGGTGGTCTTGCCAATTCCACCCATCCCATAGACAACAGCTACTCCAACATCACTTGATCCATCTTCTAACCACATGTTTAGGCCTTCCACACGATTATCTATTCCAACTACATAGGGATCGACTATTAATCTCCTATTCCATGTGTGATCCAGTTTATTTCCAATAACTTCAACTATATCTTGGATAAACTGCGACTCGTACCTATAAATTATTGATATCAAAATACATAAGGCACAATAAGTTATTTCTTTTCAACCAAAAAAAAAACTTATTTCTTTATTATTTTTAATTTTATTTTATAGAAGAGAATTGATATATATCATAGGTTGAAATGAATGATATTAAGCAAATGAACTTTCAAAACAGAAGTGCTGCCATCTAACAACTCCATGAGATTAAAGAAAAAGCTTCACTATAATCTATTTTAAAAAGCATCCAAAAGTTAGAGTGAAAACCACCATTTTGGGAATGAAAAAGTACCGATCTCCTAAAACCATCCCTCCCAAATCTGCAACATCTCTGAGAGCTTTTTTCCACTTCTCCACTTTGTCCATCTCCTTGTTGAAGCGCTGTTGGTGTCTGGCAAATGCTTCTTCAAAAATTCCTGTCTGGTTCCTGACATGGGATGGATCCACGTCATAGAAAATCGGCATAACCATGTGCTCATTAGTTTCTCTACGGTCCATGATCGTCACTAGTTCATCCAGGCACCATCTCGAGGAAGCGTAGTCCTTGGAGAAGACAATGATGGATACTCGAGACTCTTGTATTGCTTTTTGAAGCTCTGCTGAAATATTTGCTCCTCTCTCGATTTCGTCATCATCTCTAAAAGTGTGGATCCCTGCCACCTCCAAAGCCCTGTAGAGGTGATCAGTAAATCCCTTGCGTGTGTCTGTGCCCCTGAAGCTCAAGAATGCATCATAAGTGCACCGGTGAGAGGACGGATCCTGCTGCGTGCTGGTAGCAGCCATTTGTATGTTCCGCTTGTGTTTGTGTTTGAGAAATAAAATCTTGCTCTATAAAAGATAAGAAAAACGGGAACGCATGACAGTCTCACAAAGTTAGCGACCAAAGTGATAGAGTAACAAAGTCAATGTCTATTGCGAGAAAAACTTTCCTGACACGGTGGTGTCAGGTCAGCATTACAGCTCAGTATCCCTAGCCAATGAAATGTTGCCAGCTGTGACTTTTTTTAATACAAATTTATAAATAAATCCAATCCTAGACATGTATTTATAAAAAAACCCAAACACTATTTAAACATAGAAACACACCCAAAATCAACCCCAAAATCAATAATTGTATTTTTTGGGTGTGTTTATAAATGGGTTTTGAGTGTGTGTAATGATGGGTTTTGGGTGTGTTTATAAAGTGTTTTGGGTGTTGGGTTTTTTTATAATTTCAGCCTCCATTTTGGGTGTTTTAGTGAAACTCCCTTTTTTTAATTTCCTTTCCTTCTTCCCTTACCGCTCTCCCTGGAGATTGCCCCACCAGCCGCTGAACATTTATGATCTCGATTTTCACACTGAGATGCGAGAGATGTATTGAGGACGAAGCTTCCTCCATATGTATTGAACACCGGTTCAGTACTAAATTCCAAATACACGGCACCACTAGCAATATCGATATTTTCCTTAACATCAATACTAGCAATATTAATATTATTCCTAACTTAACCATATACAAAGTTTAGCAGATGTGAGGTTTTATCACAAAAGGCTTTAGTGTTATTATGAGCAGAACTACTTATTATAAGTTGTAATTTATTTAGTCATGTTTTCGACATGGAACTTTATATCCTTCACAATTAACTACTAGAAAATTTAAGAGCGAAACTAAAAGTTAAACTAAATTGCGAGGAAGAAGAAAAAAAGAGATCTTTAAATGAACAAATAAAACAATAAAATGTATATATAAGCATACATTTAGAGGTAGCTGAGCAAAGAAGCCTAAAATTACCACATATGAATCTGTCGAGGCTGTTGTTTGCCATGTATTCATATATGAGAAGTAACGCTGGTCCTTTGCTACATCCAAGAAGACGAATGAGATTCCGGTGATGAACGTTGCTTCACTTCGTTTACGAAATTCGCCTTTGCCCCGTCGGATTGGAGAATTGCTAGTTTTTTAACTGCAACTATTTTTCCATTGTTTAGAGTACCCTGTCCAATCATGTATGTAGTTGTAAATGAACATTAGGGATATTATACATTGAGCAATAAAATGAAATATGCCCATGGATAATCAAAAGCCTGACAATGCAACTTTCCCTTTTTTTTCAAAACTTTATGCATGTCAGAAAGGAGTACACCATATTCAACAATACTGAACTGAACTGAACTAAATTATTTTAGAGCCCTTTAGCATATAATTTACCTTGTAGACATCCCCAAATCCTCCTCCTCCAAGTTTGTTTTCTTCACTGAAGTTTTTTGTTGCTGACTTCAAATCTTTATATTTGTAATTCATTGGTCGTTGCAACTCGGTTGCACCCAAAATATCACCTAAAAATGAGTAAATTTAAACAATTGAAGACATGAACGTTTTCTTATTGGATTATCGTTTAAAAAAGAAAGAAAAAAGTGACTAACTTTGGCAGTACGTTTGGTTTCTATTGTTAGCGTTTTCTATGTGTCTATAGGTTGCCGTATCTTAATTTGTTGATCAATCTTCATCGACAATAATCATCGACGGCAACTTTAACTAAGCTATCGAAATTATTTCTTCAGTAATATTATTAACATTTTTTAAAGGATCATTAATTCATAACCTTAGGCTTCGTTTGTTGAGGAGAATTAGACTAGGCTAGACTATACTAGCAAAATGGCTACATTTCATGTGCAATTAAGGCATAATATAGATATTGTTGTTTTGGAGGATTATTTTTGTTAACGAATTTGAAGTCAATTATCAAATTTTGTAGCTACGTTTAGTGTTGATTCAATGAAGTTACGATTAAACTTGTTTTTGGTCACCATACCTGTTTACTTATTTGGCCAATCCCACTAATATCTAGCTCTAGTGGTGATATTGTGTCTGTGTACATCAAAAATGTGGCTGGCAGCAACTTGGAAAGATGCTAGGCTGCCACGACAACGACGACCCTAGGAAGGATGCAATATGTTCCAAGTATATTTGACTTCTTCTAATTCTGTACTTTCTGAATTATGACACCGACTGCCAATTCTAGAAAGGGTTAGGCATTATTATGTGGAGCAGTTGGAAACTTTGGAAAATAATAAGGGCATGAATGTCATTTAGTTAAGCAATTATTAGAATGAGAAATAGTAAGACCTGATAGATATTATACAAATTTATAAATAAACCCAATCCTAAATATGTATTTATAAAAAAACTCAAACACTATTTAAACATAGAAATACACTCAAAATCAACCTCAAAATCAACAATTGTATATTTTTTGGGTGTGTTTATCAATGGATTTTGAGTGTGTGTAATGATGAATTTTGGGTGTTAAATTTTTTTATAATTTCAGCCCCCTTTTGGGTGTTTTAGTAAAACTCCCAAGATATTAATGCATTTGTGTATCTAGTTGTCATTTAGTTTAGCAAGTAGGTCCACTACTAAAACAGATAAAGATATAAAAGAAAGATGAAACATAACTAAAGCCAAGTGGAGTCAAAGTCAATGTTAATGACTTATCTCCATGAAAGTTTCAAGTCAAAGCTAATGAGGACCATTTGGGACCATTCTCTCAAATTAAATGTTGTGCATTCTCCACCTCTAGTTGATAATTATAGTTGCTCTCCGTCTCCGCCATGCTCAAATTTCAATTGGATTCAAACCTTGTGCTCTCTCTGCCTCCAAGAATCCGAAAGGGTGTAGAACTCAAAAAGCCGCATGGCTGAGCATTTGCTCGAAAGCAGAAAGGTCTTGGTCCTTATATTCCCAATTACTTTCACTTTCGCTCTCCTCCATAACCACAAAGTTAGAGAGCCAAATGGCTGTTCTTCAAGACCAGAAACAGAGCTCCTCTTGCCCACCAACATCGAAGGTCCACTCTTTCTTTCTCTCTCTAAGATATGTTTACGGTTTTTCTCGCAAACTGAGTATTTGCAGAGTAATAGGGGAAGACCACCAAAGAACAAGGAAAAACTGTTTCATTTCCTCTCTCACTCAGTCACTGATGAGTAAAATAATTATGAGAAACGCTATGCTCTCTTCCTTTAATTGATTGATGATGGTATATAAAGTTTTTAATTCAATTGAAATTGAAATTTGTTTGATTTATTATATGAGATTTGTGTTTTCATTAATGGTTTATTGATAGTATTTTAATTAATTGATTAAGGCTTGTGTTTTGATTAATTGATTAGGGTTTTGTGTTTTGATTAGTTTTGTTGTTGTTGGTTGATTAGGAATGAAAGTGCTATGGCTTTAATTTTTCAATCCTATGTCGTCTAAAAAATATTTTCCAACTTTTACACTAAGACCCATTGTTGATTAATCTGGATCCACCACTGTTCCTATGTCTTGAAGTAATTGGTGCATGGTTCACTTGTAATGCCCTTTTCCATACATCTGCAGCTTTTCCAACTCGAACTTTGATGCGTATCCTATATGTCTATGTATGAGACGACTCCTATATGGATAGGGCTGTAAATTGGAGTATATATTACTTTAAGACTGTATTTTTGGCTAACATGTTTGTTTGAATATTACAAAAATTCATGTGTGGTTATCATATCCAAACATACTATATAACAAAAATGCATGTATACTTATGTATTCTATATATGTGTATCTATTTTTTGTTATAATGTGTGTATATATAAAACACACATACTTGTATACATCAGAATTATACACATGTCTATATATACTAAAAGTTTGTTATATATACATATATGTGCATATGTATAAGAGTACAAATCACTTTAAGATTATGGATTTTTGACTATACTACATAACAAAAATGCATATGTGTGCTTGTTACCTATGAATCATGATAGCAGTACATGTGAGCTTCTCTAGAGCAAGACTAACACAGTTTTTTTTTAGAATGATCAAATACACGTATCACAATTTATTTTTTCATTAAATTGTCATTAGCTAATACCATGTGAAATACTTTCATTTGGTCTTATAGATGTATGTGTGTATCTTTTTTTTGTTACAGTGTATATGTATACATAAAACATAAAAGATTGGAATTGGAAGTTATATTGAATTCTGAACATTTTCGGATTGGTCAAAACCATACACAGCAGTCCATCACGAACCATTGATGCAGCACCACAAAGCACCATTCCAAAAGAAGCCTCAAGATTGAATCGTACATGCCAGCATGCACGAGTTAGCAAAGACCAAATATGACTCAACATATGCTCAGCATATTCTCCTCCCAAACGGCTACCTTAGCTGGTCCTTATCTATTAGTCCCTTCTATTCCATTCTAGAATATTTGTAAAGCTGTCTATAAAAGCATTCATTTATTCACTATGATTAAATATATAATACAAAAACTTCTTTATTGTCTTCTCTGCCTCATCTTTTAGGGTCTGTTACAAACCCGCCCGCCCAAAATGATTACAAATAAAGCATTCACCCACCTCCTTTTTATAATTTCTATGAAACCTTGATGCTGATGCTGACACATCTCCAGCAACGAGATGATTCTGGCTCGAAGGTGTAGTTGTTTCATGCTGGAACATTGTGGTTATATCTTCAGTTACAGTACCCTCATTATTATTCTGCTCGTACACAAGCTGGATTCCAAGTTCCTTTATCAAGATTTCATCCCTCAACTCCCACTCATCTACTCTAACCGAAACACGTATTTCATCCCCACCCTCCAATTCATCGTTTGCGAATCGCCAATGACTAAGCCATAACATATGTTCCTTCTCTTTTGGATACCCTATTGTGACTGGCATATAGGTCCACTTAAGACCCTTGGTCTCATTACTGACGCTAAGAATGGGAAAGCACGAGTAACATCTATGTGGAG